TTATCGAAAACTCGAAAGTCGAAACTCGAAAATCGCATATCGCGTTATGCAAATAACGCATAGCGCATAGCGCATAGCGCATAGCGCATAGCGCATATCGCTTATCGAAAACTCGAAACTCGAAACAAGAAAGTCACATATCGCGTTATCACATAGTGTATAGTGCATAGCGCATACCGCATAACGCATATCGCTTATCGAAAACTCTAAACATGAAAATCGCATATCGCGTCATGCACTAAGCACATAGCACATAGCGCATAGCACATAGTGTATATCGCTTATCGAAAATTCGCAACTTGAAATCGAAAATCGCATATCGCGTTATGCACATAGCGCACAGCGCATAGTGCATAGCGCATAACGCCTATCGCTTATGAAAACTCGAAACTAGAAAGTCACATATCACGTTATGCACATAGCGCACAGCGCATAGTGCATAGCGCATAACGCCTATCGCTTATGAAAACTCGAAACGAGAAAGTCACATATCGCGTTATGCACATAGCGCACAGCGCATAGTACATAGCGCATAACGCCTATCGCTTATGAAAACTCGAAACTAGAAAGTCACATATCACGTTATGCACATAGCGCACAGCGCATAGTGCATAGCGCATAACGCCTATCGCTTATGAAAACTCGGAACTAGAAAGTCACATATCACGTTATGCACATAGCGCACAGCGCATACTGCATAGCGCATAACGCCTATCGCTTATGAAAACTCGAAACTAGAAAGTCACATATCACGTTATGCACATAGCGCACAGCGCATAGTGCAAATATTCAAATAATTGAATTTTATCACTCCTATCATCAGCACCTTAAATACAGAATCGACTTCAATATTTCATTCATTTATCTTTATTGTCAGAACATATACATATAATATCCAAAGTAGATTGATCCAGCTAATAACAACGCCTTCAGTCATATTCAACAAAATATGCGGCTCATCTTTGTTTGGCGTGTGCAGCTTTACACTTGCAACTTCTCCTGAGAAGAGTTAACAAGAAGACTACCTGAGAGGACGTTTTAAGGAACCTTTCTCACTGGTCTTTAAGAAGTCATCGCATCCCAAGTACATTACGTGAGGACTACGAGTGGATCTATTCGCCGCACGGACTTACAACTCTGCTGGTGCCTACATCACTCAATGATTTGTTGAATACCTATGCCATTCAACGGGGGGAGCATGTTGGCGCCTATGTCACCTTCATATGGATTCCTAATGATCGCCCACGGACATCACTTGCAACAGCTAGTATTTTATATTTTTGTAGGATTGCATTATCATCCGAATTATACATGCATGCAGATATTCATGTTATTCGGACACTAAGAAGTGTATAGACAGACAAGGGGTCAAGGG